ATTATTATTAAAAATCTTCCCCCTTTCACTCACTACCGGCTGCTTTCCCACTCAATGGAAGCAATCCATTATAATGCCTAAGCACAAGGGTGGACCGAGAGATCAAATGTCAAGCTACCGCCCAATAACTCACATCTCTGATGCTTCAAAAGCCCTAGAGTGTATAGTCAAGAAGAACATTGTTCAATATCTTACAAGATTGGATCTGATCAACCCCTCACAGCATGGCTTTCTCTCAAAACGCTTCTGCATTGCCTGCCAGCTACAACTTCTCGCTCAGGTCAAGACTATGATTGACAGAGGAAAGTCAATTAGTATAATTCTGTTGGATATGCCAAAGGCGTTCGACCGCGTGCCGCACAAGCCAGTGCTGTCTGCTCTAGAGTCATATGGAATCAGAAATCCTCTACTTAACTGGTTAGACTCATATCTAAATGGTCGAACTCCGGTAGTTAAAATCGGTCAGCAACATTCTACACCGAAACAAATAACCAGCGGCGTCTTCCAGGGAAGTGTGCTCGGACCACGACTTTTCTTAATCTACGTAAACAATATATGTGACCCGATCAAACATGGACACCCATTTCTGTTTGCAGATGATGTCAAACTGGTTTACTCATTTCATCCAGACCAACTACATATATGTTTGGGAAACATCTGTGAAGACCTATCCGCACTAAATATAGCTAGTGAATGTTTATTAATGAAGTTCTCCGCAGTGAAATCCCAAGTACTTGGGTACAGATGCCGCATCCCAGAAGGCTCCAACATACTTGCCGGAAACGTGATCCCAACGTCTGATTCAGTTCGGAACTTAGGACTTAGGTACTCTAACTCTTTCAATTTCTCCTAACATGTGCTTTATCAGGTTGTGAAAGCAAGGCAGTTATTCGGATATATCACCAGAACTTTCTCCATACCTGAAGTACGACTTGAGTCATTCAAGACAATAGTACGACCAACTCTGGAATATTGTACTATAATTCATAGCCAATCGAGAAAGAAAGACAGAACGGCTCTGGAAAATGTCCAACGATCATTTACCAAGCTAGTCATGGGGCACTGCTCAAACCTGACTTATTATGATCGCTGTCGAAAACTCCAACTGGATCCTCTTTGGCTGAGACGCTTAAAGAACAACCTCGTTCTCTGCTACAACATTATAAACCAATGAATTTATGCAGACAGCACCGCACTTAAACTAAGAAAGACGGCAGTCTTCCCCACACGTAATGGCGGCTACTTGATACGCACAAACATTTCAAGTCATAAAACTCGATCGAATTTCTTCTTAGTGAGATACACTGATCTGTGGAACAAACTAACCCTACAGATACGCATGAGTGCAAGCTATATCACAGATGTTCCTCCCTATACCAAAGATGTTGAAGATATTTGACTCACAGCAAAGTCTAGGAATATTGACAGAAACTGGTATAAAAAGTATACAAGCAGATATTCGCTTACAACTAGCTTACCCAATACATGTCATTACCTACAATACCAAATCCTGTGTTTGTGCAACCTAGCATCCCCTTCCTTTGATTATCTACTACTGAGCCCCACCAACTAGAAAAGGATGATACAAACATCCGTAACTTTTACATATTAGGTGCACGGGTCTAAGGCCCGAGGAAAACATCATGATCCGAAATTCTATTCAATAAATTTTTCTTTACTATTATGGCATACGCCGCATAATCCATGAAACCTATACACTAGACAGATGATCGCTCCCACTTATGGGGTCGTGTACCGTCTGTCGGTAAATATACAATTTTATTTATTTATTTATTTATTTAGTAACAAATTCATTCAACATGATGACATGAACATACATACACAGATATATCCAGTATGTATTGGTCAACTTGCAACCTTTCTCCACCATTACTGATGTTACCCGTAGTATTATCATGCTCATGTCATTTAAGGCGTGACCCGCACAGTCGAGAATAAAGTATGTATTTATTTATTTAAGAAATGAAGCATTTCATGTTCCAAAGCAATCATCACATGTGGTGAGGGGTCTGGGAGCGATGGCCCTAAGAACAGGACAACCGAAAGTTTACAATTAATTAATTTTTCACACATAGGGCAGATCTCAGCAGACTTATCGCAGCGTCATCGGTGAACTGGAAGAAGCGCGAATTAGGGTAACATAGTACAAGCAGAAAGGCCATGCTGGAGGCTATTCTGTCGATGCGTCACTGAACTAGGCTTGCCTATTGATGACTCCGGTGGCTTACATAAACACGGAATGTTGGACGAGGGTTGCTTGACCTCCCGTCGAACCCAGTTGGACAGGTCTAGTTTCACACTGAAATTCAGAACATTGTTCTTCTTATGTTACTGGTAAACACTGTGTGTATTTACACCAATGGGTTCCTCTTCCGTTCCTGAAGGTAGTGACAGTTTCCGGGGTTCTACTGATCACCACAGCCTCCTCGGCGAAGTAGGTTATCGGAATGGCACCGATAAGCGCGTGGTTGTCCTCGTTGTGACGGCATTACTCTTATATTAGAGCTGGAAATATAACCTATTCTTGGGTGCTCCCAACACCGTTTCTTTCGGCGGTCTGACCTGGCTGGTCTCCTCGATGTAGAGTATTGAGTAGCCATTTTCCATTACCCTCCCTGCCTTCTCAGACAAATAATTGCTTGAGCAAATGCGCCTGGCACGTTTGAATTGTATTCGCCAGTGCACACTTGTGAAGCATCGGTGTGAAAGTGGTAATGTGTTGATATTGACCGGACAATGTAGGTTTCCGATTTACTGACCATTAACAAGCCTGGTCTCCCTTCGGCTGATGAGAATCGCCAGGTATGGAAGGCGGTCTTTCGTCTCGATTTCATAAGTTGACTGTTCATATGACGAATTCGGTGAAGCGGATAGCGCTGAAACCCGTCTCTGAGAGGTAAATGGGAAGACCGATCTCAAATGAGTACGGCTAGTACTGAGTTAACAACAATTGATACAATACCTGCCAATTTACATCCAGGATTGGAACAATGCTGGTGATTTGTGTGGTTCAGTTCAATTCAAGAAAGTGGTTTATGCACCCATAAGCATGAATATCCAGTAGTTACACACGCGCTCTCAGCATAGCAAAAGAAATGAATCAATAAATGCACAAGTAGAGTGATAATTGGTATAAATAGCATTATGGTTAGATGCAAAATTGTTTTTAAGCTCCAGGACAACTGATGTCTAGTCGCTCAAAATTCGTGTCAGCTATGGAATAAACGGATGAGGGATAAGCCCTTGTACGGGCAAAAGTGGATCTACACTTTTGTCTGGTTGGGAATGTGGATACACACTCAGAGAGTGCGCTATGAAGAGGGTGACTTGTATCAGTAAGTATTCGCGAAGCAAACCATATGCATGAATTGGTGTGAGTGGACACAAGAATCTCAGCAAAGGTCAACTTGGGTATTCCACTACAGCGAGATAATTGCGTCAGTAATAAACTTAGGAGTTTGAAGTGGTTCCTTAGGAAACCAGGAAATATCACGGTGGAACAATAGGTCCAAGAAGGTAAGACGCATGCGGTGAGGAAACTCAGAATTAAGTGGCGGGGAACAGAGGAGGATCGCAAACGAAGGGCGTAGTATGAAAACCTCCTCACCCCTTTATGAAAACCTCATTAACATGGAATGACTAGGAAAGATCATGACTGAGTGTTACACTTAGGTACTTCACCGACACTCTGGAGTACAAATTTTCGCCATCTGTGTGAAGTTCGGGGTATTGCATGAGCAGTTGCCGACAACCATGGACTATTTGTAGGGAGAAAATAACGTTATTGACTTTTGGTGCATTTAGCGATAAATTCCGAGCTCTGGACCATAATACAAGACTGTTCAGATAGGCTTGTAATTTACTTGATGAGGTTGTGGTCGGTTGTTGCATACCCAGGACTACGTCGTCTGGATGTTTCGATAATACCATCTCAACTGGGGTAGGTAAAGAGGTCTTGTAGGTGAAAAAGTGGTATGGAGCTAGTACGGCTCCTTGAAGAACATCAGTGTCTGTGGTGAAGGGCGAGGAAGTTTTACCTCCAAGTCGAGTAAACTGGGCAGGTCCAGTGAATTCGTCTCACAAAAAGTGGAGTAGCGAGTTGAATTCCGACACCGTGCAGCTCACTGAAAAGAAGCTCACGACTTACATTGTCGAAAGCATTAATGTAATCGAGAAAACACATAGGTACGAGTTTTACCTTGTTGTCTAGTGAGCACAACAATGAATATACTAGATAGGCTAATGCGTATTGAGTAGACCACAAACTATGATAAGCAAACTGTAGCCGATCATCTGAGTGAGTGTGTTTCAGCAACTTTTCAAGATCAATCTTCTCGAATATCTTCACGTTTACCGAGGTACAGGCAAGTGGTCGATATTTAGTTGAGCCTTTCTTAAGCCACGGTGCAATTCTGACACTTCTCCAACATTCAGCAATAATACACTCTTGCCTGCACAACTTGCATAGGTAAGCAAGTGGCTGGGCCAAGTAATCTGCACACACGGAAGACAACGGATGATAGTCCATCCGGACCAATTGCTTTGTTGGAGTTCAGCTGTAGTAGTTTATTGCGCACTGTCTTACTGTCAGTGGCAGGTCTGGACCAGTCGGCTTAGATCTTTATAACAATGAAGTTGCTATTCGCTCACGTTAGGCCAAAACGATTATACCGTGTCTCTCTGACCCTAATGGTAGTGGCCGAATCACGGGAGTAGGGCCTCACTAGCATCTTACCCATCGGTTTCCCGACAATTTCGTGATAGAGCTAGTAACCGCAATCACCGTGCTTTGCCAACAAAGTGAATAAGGTCACTTCAAATGTGAAAAGAGTGTGAAGCACCAATTGCACCTCTAGTTTTCAATATGTTGCTGAAATTTCAAACTGATGCAATTAGTGCTAGCTGCTTGGTAGCATCCCGGTGCAAATGGTTAATGTCATTACGAGTGTGTACGTACAAGCAAGCATTTAACAACTTACTCGATTCCTGCCAGAGACAAAGTACACAATCATGCACGCCAGTCCAGTGAGAAACACGACCATCGTGAGGGCGAATATCAGCCCAGAACACATTGTGAAGTCGCATTTGGTTTGAATTGCAAACAGTGTGATTGCCAGGCATAAAACCACAGTCATGGCTAGGGCGATCAGGACCGCCTCGGTATTGTGATAGGCAGCGATGCAGCCAGTCACGTAGGACAACGCCAAAGTCTAAAGAGATGAGGGAATTCGAACTATACTCAAGCCCGTGCATCATAACAATGACAGACCCAAAAAAGTTGCGTAATTCATTTTGTATTGCATTCAACAGGGCTAGACAATAGAGTAAATGTCTCATCAGAAAGATCACCCAGATTCATGAGGAGAGTGTTTAAGTGCACTTGAGATACTGCGCTATAGACATGTGATGAAACGATAGCTCATTCAAGAGCATGACGCACAAGTTAACATCACTTTGGCAAACTTTGTCTCTGTGTTAAATGCGAAGCCCAATAAATAAGCTAATTAGGGTAAACATATTACACCGCACCCAGGCATTGATAGCTGTTTGACGGTTGTTCCGGAACGTTGTCTACAACAGACTGGTGATGCAAAAGTTGCACTACTCGGCAAAAGATGGCTCACTTAGATTACCAGAAGCATCCTACAAACCTAGTTGTCTCCTCACAAGGGTGCAACGCATTTGTTTTCTGACAACATGGAGGACAGGGCATAATAGTCAGCGATTTCACTTCTTACCAAACCCTCTACCGTCCGTCTGTTTGGCTGTCTGGGTGTCTATCTATCTACCTGCCTGTCTGTCTGCGAGCAATCTGTTTGTCATGCGCTCTCTCGGTATCTGGGTGCCGTGTTGTTATTAGCATTGGCATGTACTAAGAGCTTGGTCAACGCCGGAATGTGCAAAATTTCATCTGCACAAAATAAAATGTATGACAAACTAAACCGATGAACAGTTGGTCAAATATTTAAATTTGTACCAATCTATTCCTACAAAATCACCAAACACTTATAGCAATTGCCTTGGCTCATTGTGGAACCAGGTTCTCCTGAGGCAGAGAAATATACCGCTTAGTTTGTAATTTATATGGCACCGATAATGCGTCTACTCTCTCTGTATATAATCCCATTTTTAAGCCCATCTACAATTCTTTATGCTCTCTTGTCTCTCATAATCTGTTGCGGTGCGTTCAGAAGAAGTACAACTCGGAAATACGTGTCACTAATGAGTACTACTTGACCCACTTACAGATGCAGTCCTGGTCCCGAAACCTAAAGCGACTAGGTGATGCAGTGCACTCATTTTAATGAACAATGAACAATGATTTATGACGGGTAAAAAAGCAGGTGCTTGACATGTCCCGTAGGGTGGATAGCGTGACAAAAAAAGATAGCGAAGGGATAATGGAGTCGTCAGTTCGGGCGCTAACAGATGTAACTGCATTTTCGTATAAAGGGGGTTCGAAACGAGAATGTACGCACACAAAGCAACAGGAGAGTGGTTATTGTTCACATCATAGGCGAGAAAAATTTTTAAAAAACGATGGCAAGGACAACGCTTACTTGTGTGCGATTATCGTCGGTCGACAGGATACAGAAATCCAGTGTCTACAGTAGTAGCGTTTATCAAATTTCGCGCAAGGCGTTTGGAGTGACTCGCTCTCGAGTAGGGTTATGGAACTATCCCCTGTCTGTTGTGCATTAGTGCCAGCATCTGGTGGTCATGAGCTATAGCACGTAGTGTAAATGTGACAGGGTATCGTCAAGGCGTTTTTTGAAAAGGGATATGGTGGATGCATCAATTACATGTTCTGGGAGGGCGTTCCAAGGCTGTGCCACTCGAAGGGAGAAATAGTTTCGCCGACATTCCAGGCGGCTGTACTGCGTGACTAACTTAAACTGGTGACCTCTTAGCGAGGTGTTTTGACTGAGTATTAGAAGGGAATGGCATGGGTGGTTGGGGTCTCTCAGGATTAGGTACACCATTATGAGATCGCCCCTTAGACGCCGATAACGTCCACTGTAGATTTTAAGGGTATTCAGCCTGAGTGGGCAGGGGAGGCTGGTCAAACCTCTGACGCTTATCGTTGTCCTACGTTGTGCAGTATCGAGCGCGGTGAGATGGTGCTTGAGCCAGGGTGCGCGTAGGACAAACTGGTGCACCGACAATATTTGGCTAATATTTTTGCCGATAGAAAAGCTCAGAGGTAACCCTGCTAAAAGTTCGAAATTGAAGCGCAGTATCTCCCGCTTAACAATACAGTCGGAGTGATACAGAGCGTTGAAAAATCAGGCGACGCCCTACGGACGCAGTATGCCCCGAGCTTCCAAAAAGACATCCGCAAGTGCACTTTCCCACATCCATAGCCCCAACTTCGACACTCATTAACTACTACTACTACTACTACTACTACTACTACTACTACTACTACTACTACTACTACTACTACTACTACTACTACTACTACTACTACTACTACTACTACTACTACCACTACTACTGTGTTGAGAACATTGCTCTCGCTGTACATGTACAGTTCTTGAGAAATTGATAACATTCACCCGAGGATGCTAAACGTAGCAGCAACAACGTTGACCAAGCCACTAGCGCATTTCTTCCAAATGTGGTTGGATAAGCATACTGGGTCTACGATGTGGGAACATGGTCTAATCGCCCCAATTTTCAGAAGAGGTAATCGCTCCGAACAAGCAAACTTGCGCTCAGCGGTTCTTCTACCTGTACTCTCAAAGGTGATAGAGGCAATCACTGTCGAGACCTTAGACGACTATCTAGAACGCTACAACAACGCAACACCGGAGCAGCACGGACTCTGTCAACACCGATCACGTACAACCAACCTAGTGAGTACACGCAGTAGTTAGACGAAAATGGCCGGCAAAAGAGAGGGGTCTAGGTCACTTACCTCGACTTCTCCAAAGCTTTCGACTCACCGGAGCACCGCATTCTGCTTCACAGGCTCGAGAGCTATGTGGTTAGGATCCTTTATTTAGGTGGATCAGGAATATCCTGCAGAATCATCAACTACATGTTAGCGTTGGAAGTGCGCTGTCCGATCCGATTCATGTCGAATGTGATTCCACAAGGATCAATTCAAGACAGCATCTGTTTCTCGTGTTCATTAATGAGCTTATGAGTCTGATTGTCTCTGCCTTTTTGATGTACGCTGATGATGCTAAAATGGGGCAGACCAAGGAGATCACGATGCACCTTAGCAAAACCTTGGCATGGACCATCAATGGTCACCCATAACCTGCTCCAGTTTAGTTCATCTAAGTGTAAGTTGTTCCATATTCGTCAACAATCGCACATCAAGAACAAGATTGGAGACCATGTCCTGCAAGCAGTCACCGTGGAGCACTACATTGGCTCATTAATCCAGGCTGATCTGGGTTGCACAGAATAATATAACAAGCGTCATAGACTGGAAACCAACCCGCTGGCATTGTGCGTAGCGTATACGGGTGGTTTGATCTAGCTGTCTGTTCGCAGTTGCCAAAAACATACGCGCGGCTTCATGTGAAATATGCAATCTAGACCTCATAGTCATGGCACAAGATCTCGCAGCACTCGAGATTTCATAGCGAACAGCCGACAGACACGTCAAACCGTTGTACCATCTTTCAGATCAACTTAGGCTAAAGACTATTGTACAGGGGTAATTATCGACGCCTAAGTGGCGAACTAATAATGGTCTACTATACTTTGAGGAACTCCAGCCACGTCTGCCGCCACCTATTGCAACACATTCATAGCACGAAATTGAGGGGCCACCAGCTCAAGATAGCCACTCAATAAAGCAGGCTTGAATGGCGGCGAAAGGATTATTCTATTCGTGTCTGCCAGCCATGGAACGCCCTCCCAAATTATGTTATCTCTGCTACCTCACTCTCGATGTTTTAGCAACGCCTTGACGTTGACTTAAGCCGGCCCGTAGCCTTAACACAAGACTGCTTGGTAATCCGAGGGTGCGTTTTCGAGCTTGCATAGGAACCAGGGGATTCTCACAATGTCTTTAACCCACGTGCAAATGATGGTGGTTAAGCGGCAGCGAAGCGTCGCCACCACGTACCGGCGTACTGCTGATGTATTTTTACATCACGTGATATGGCCTTTGCACATCGTCAGACGATGGATTTATCTGTTGACATGCCAGTCGGAAAATCCTGTCCTCGGATAATCTGCTAGCGTGCCTTCAAGTTTCATCGTAATCCAGCCGGCATACACTTATTTGATCGGGCTCGGCATGCTCTTTCCAACGTGCAGCATTTATCGAATTTACACATTACAGACGGCTATCTCCCGTCGACTGCCACATTTTCCGTATTCTCTGTGGAGGTATACACGAGGAATGTATTTCAGTTTGCATCCTACACCACAAATTGTGACATTTTTTGGAAGCCAAACCTAAGGGCTCTTTAACAACTACACGACTGTTTTTCTCGGTAGCTACGTAAGGCAGATACGGGCGGCAGTATAAGGGAGATACCGCTAAACTTTCAATTGTGTGGCACTCACTGAGGCTGCCACCTGAAATCAACCCACCGGCCACACACCAATAGTGTCACACAAAGTGGCCCTCTGACCGGATCGATAGTCTATGCTTCGTTCAAAGGACTCTGGATTCACGTGCAACCGCTTGGGACCTGTCACGAGGAAAATCAGGAACGCCTGTGCTGACCCGACTGCTAACCGGTGTGTCATTGGAACGGCGCGACAGCAGCACGTTTGGAATTGGCGGAGAGCTCACGTTTCCAAAGTAATGGAGCGCGCAACTCGGAGGCAGAGATACAAACAGTTCACTCCAGTGCTTTCTTTTTGTCCCTAACTAAACCGCACAGTTTCCGGGAGTTACCAATTTTACCGGCATTATATTAGACGTGGATTTTCAGTTTAAGATTAGAAGCTAACATCCATTCCCATAGCCCCATTGATTTCGCTTGTGTATCTTACTTCGGTTTCATTATCATGTCTACAGTAAGGACACGCTCGATGACGAAAAGAAGCCTTGTAGACCAGGATGCTTCCATTTTAGTTCAAAGGTGAGACAATGAACTAAGGTACTCCGCACAACGGCTGGAAGCAGTACTAAAGAAAATACCCAGTATAGGCGCTGTGGGAAATTACTTTGGATTACATGCTGACCTGAGAAATACACGTGAAAATTTTTCATCCGTAGCTGGAATTGCATACG